TTAATGGGCTCAAGAGATATGCTAGACTGTTGATAGAATTTTCCATGAGTGCTCTTGGTATTTTTTTTAATGATATATACGACTGAAATATTAAATGTCTATGAGGTTCTTGGTATGCTCGGATATATCAACAAGCATGCAACCATGGTTTAATCCAACTCTATTACTGCTTCATTTATAGATTACGTTCTTGCTCATCCCCCAACAAATTTCTTCCTTACTCTCTCTCCTATCTTCCTTTCAAGTGGAACTCGGCATTCGGCGGTTGGGGTTTGGTTGCCAGTGACAGTGTCTCCTGCTAGTTCTTACTGCTTCCTTTTCCGACGGCGTGTGTCTGCAGCAGCTGAAGTTCAAGGCGTTGCAACCCAACGTGAACCCCCTCCCCGGTGCGGTGCAGTGGACTGGGGGGTCTTTTTGGCTACCTCTCAAAAGTTCAGCATCTAGCGGCTGTGCATTGGAGGTGTTTCCCTTGCGATGCATCGCTTTCTTGCGGGAAGCGAGTTCTTGCTACGGTGCGATGGTGGTCTGGTGCCTAGATCTTTGCTGGGTTGCGATTTGAGCATTGTACATCCTCGGAGGGAGCATTGCGGTTGGTCTAAATTGTGCGGCGGTTGTAACTGGAGGCGATCGTGACTGGAAAAAGAGTGCTTTTGCATGTAGCAGCAACAACATGCGGCATGGAACATCTAAACGGTCTTGATGGAGGGTTTCTTCCTCTGCTTTGTTGATTGCGGTCTAGCAGTGCTGACCATCTTTGTTGCTGTTTTTTTTTTTTTTTTTTTTTTTTGTTTTTTGTGTTTTTTTGGTGAACGACAAAGTGGCGGAGGTCTGTGTGTTCGGCTTCTGTGGCTGGACCGTTTTGTTCCCTTCTCGTCTTCGACAGAGTCCTCAGGTCGCGGTTGAAGGTTTGCCTGCGGAGCAAGGTTGCTATAAGGCTTCGAAAGTGGCGTGCAAAGAGCGTAGAGGCTCTTGCTTCAGGTCTAGATTTTGGAGCGATGGAACTCTATTGATCATGTGGAGCAAGAAGTTATCGCTGCTGCATTGAAGTACTTGAGATGGTTCTTGATCTTGACGATGTGTGCAACATCTTCAGAGCGACTGCATTGGCATTGGTCCCGCATCGACGTTGATGAGTTCAAAAGCTCTGTGGGCACCTAAAATCCTACCTTGTTCAATCCGCACTCACCGAAGCGTTTCTCCAACTTGTCGAGGTAGAGCGGATTTTTTTTGAGACTGCCTTAGCCCATCGCCATGTCTGGTTGATGTCCGTACTGGTTGCAGATGTGTGGATCTCTCAGTTGGCAATACTAAGCACGATTGCACGTGCATATGTAGGATAGAGTTAGAGTTAGAGTCATTAGTATGTAGAAGTCATTGATTTGTTGAGAAGGCGATGGCTTGTGAGCGGTGTTCCATTCCTAAAGCGGCCACAATACTGCTAGTTCATCGCCAAATCCGTGCTTGGAGTAACTCTTCCCAGCCCCGCCTACTTTATTGGTAGCTATACAACTGCTACCCTGTGTACTCGGGAAGTTTTCTCGTACGAGGAAGTCAGGCAGTTGGAGCATACACCACAGACAACTGAAGCAACTCTCCAACAGCGGTCAAGGCTCGTTCCACCAACGTCATTTCCGTGAGAATTTTTTTCAGAACAAGTTGGGTAGAGAACGATCATATGTTACGAAGTGAGTAATTTTGAAATTGATAAACAACCTCGAAGGGAGACGAACATCTTGATAGTATGAACAACTGTAGGGATGAAGTTAGGTCATGGAGATGAATTCTTGATCCGATAACCAATTGTAGATGAAATTTAATTAAGAGAGACCCAATTTGTTATTTCTACTGATTTAATAAATCCAGCTTGTAACATTTTTTTAACTCTTTCTCAACAATCAATTGGAATTCAAAGTTCATACAACTTTCTTTTTGTCTAACTTCCTTGACATTAAGTATAAAAAATTACGGTATTGAGCCACTTTACTTGATATATCCTTCAAATCCTTATATGACCATGCTAAAATATTTCAATATTTTATGATCAAATCATGATATTTAGACACTTCTTCTTGATTTAAATAAACTCTAATTTTAATGTTTTTGAAATCTTTTCCTATATGAAATATATCTATGAGTTTCTATTTCAATTATCATAGTGGAGATTATTTTAAAGAATTTATATATCAATCACTAGATATAGGAAGATAGTTGACAACTTTATTGCCAATTAAAATTTTCAATAAAGTGTTTAGAAATCTAAGAGGTGGAACTAAGTCATCATCTCTTCTAAGGACTTTAATTTTTCTTCTAATTTTCTATCCATATTAATGCTAAAGACTTGGATTTCTTTAACTTCCACAATCTCTAACATTCCTTCTATAAAATTAACTAATTTGAAATAATTACAATTAGAGTCTAGATGATTATTTAGCCATTATGTAAACTCCTTGTCATCTTTCTAATGATAAGGATTGGAATCTAAGTATTTTTTATTTTATTTTATTTTATTTTAAAATTTTAGTCAAATGAATGATCTTTGTTAACTTGCCTTAGACTTTCAAAGGTTGGATATCTTTTATAGAGTCAAGGGAATTATTCTTTCTGTAATCAAATATAGGTCATATGAAGATTTTGGTTTTATTTTTTCATAGACCAAAGATGATGTGAGGCTTGATTCTTCTCCAATTAACTATAGCTTTTGAATCCCTTATTTAAGTATGTGATCTTTTGAATTATTTGAGTAGTTGGTATTTTAGTGTTGTAAATGTGAGAGTGTACCTTTTAATTAATAATTTAAAGGACTAAGTATGGAGTAATTGGAAGCATTTAGGTGATTAATTTATAAATAAATTAGTAGTTGTAAGTTGCATAAATCATCTATTAGAGATTTATTTTTGCTCACAATTGGGATGATATAGGACACTTGGACATTAAACAAATGCTAGTTGGGCATTGTTAGAATATTTAAACAATCAAAATTGTAGTAAATTAGACTAAACTTCCAACTAGTAGAGGTTTATTTTAGTTCACATAGTACAATACTTTCATTGAAATGAATAGATATATACAATAATCCTTCCGGACACAATGTGTGATTTGTATTAGCTCGTGGTTGCACAATGCATAAGTGCAAAGCATTATTGTAGAACCACATTGTGTATGGTGATGAATCAAAACAATATTTTTATACATGTTAAAAAGTGAAAAAAAAATTACTTATAGTGTAAAATGTGAAGAAGTTAGAATAGAGGTTGGGGCAATCAAGGCAACATCATCAATTTGTGGAATCTAGGTAACTAGTGAAGAGTCTTTAATAAAAGAGATCCATTCTTTAAATATATCACTAATACTAGTACACCACTTTCTTCTAAATAGCTGACTTGGATAAGTGTGAAATGTCATGGCTCATCACTAGCACATGGTAAAATGAAGTACAATGAAGTTGAAAGTCATATCAAATGTGGAGATTATTTTTTTATTAATATTATTTGAAAATAATCAGTTTACATTTACAGTATCTAATGTTTTGAATTGAAACTTACATGTGCCATCTATGAAAGGGATCAATGCATAGTAAAAATGTCCAAACAACTAGAAGTTGATTCATCTCATAAATTGGTCATTCATGAGTCTCATTTACTTGACTTTCATAAAACTAAGTTTACTTTTCAAGTGAACATTCGGTGTGGACGAGAGCCAGCCATGTATCATGACGACAGGATAAGGGCAAGCACCGGTTTTCCTTCATGCATGAAGCAGTCATTTTTTATGGGAGAAGTTTTGTGAGATTTAGCCGTTAAAAAAATAATAACAATAATAAAAATTAAGAATCACAAAGACTAATGATTGAAAACAGGAAAACTGTAGCTCGTCGTTTTCTTCCTTCTGTGCAGTGAATTCTCTTCTGATGGTGCCTCTTGATAAATCAGCTGGCATCTGATCATGGACTGAGTATCAGGAACCGGGACTTCCGATCACGACATGAGGGATGTCACGATTAGAGTCTGTGTCACACTGAAGTGCTGCTATCTGGCTGCTGTCAACCTAAGCCTGTTGTCACTTGAACATCTTACGAGTGCAAACATGTACAGACAAACTGCTCACTTACCATACGGTATGTGAGCTTCGATTTCACACACTTGCAATATGTAACTTCCAACTCTCGAGGCATAGATTTCCCTATCAGGTCGCTAAGCCAGCAGAAAATCCGAACAGGATACGCAGCTTCACAACCTCACCAAACAAAAATGGCAAATGAAATCATTTAAAGCGATCCCTCCCCAAGTCTGGAATCAAAAACAGCAAATGCATTACGCAACGACTTCAAGTGCAAGTCATGGCTTTCAATTCAAACAGTACCATACTCCGAAATCGCAGGCGGTATATCAAGTGGCAGTATAAACTTGTCGAAGGCCCGAAATCAAGTTGCTGACGAGGTAAGACCTAACGCTCTGCAATCGATTCCTACGCCCTAAAGTAGCCATTATGCCAAGCTACCGACATGCACCATAATGGTTATTATGATATATTATCGACAATAAGATATATTAGGTGCTGAACTTATTGCACCCAGATTTGAGAACCGAAGCGGTCGAAATTTAGTGCCACCCGAGCCGACTGTCAGAACAGCGGGCATCACGGCTCTGCAGACGAGTTGGAAAGCAGAATGGACACCCTCTCACAATGCACGAGTCATCCTCGTCGGCTAGACTATTTTTACATGTTTCCCTACGATTTAGAGACCACTGCGGTCTTCTGTACTTCACAAAGATTTATATCTATCATTATTTATATTTAAAAAAAAAAAATTGAATGACACAGTAGGGGGCATATTGGAGCAACACTCAGCATGTCTTGCCTCGCTGTACAAATTTCAAGGAAATAATTTTAAGAGGAAAAAGGTTACGTGCTGACTACGATAGTGAATGTGGTAAGCTGTACCAGCCTCCGCCTGTCAGAGCCACAATGACATGATTGTACAGACAACGGTGACCATAAAGCTGCACCTCGATGCTCAGGACGACACAGGTTTGACCCAAGTTTCTCCAGACATATCGTGATTCTCGCAGTGCAATCCAGCGCTTGCCCCGTTAATCCTAAGTCATGTCTTCGTCGGAGTCCAGCAGAAAGCTCGCAAGGACTGGTTTGGGGGACTCATCCAAAGCCTCCTACAGGTCTCGGAGGAGTATCGTGAACACAGCGTTGGAACTGGCAAAGCAGCACACAGGCGACTCTGCCCATCTCACAACGATCGCGGGAGATGTGTACTGTCATATTTCTGGGACCCTGGGAGACACCAAGTACAACGCCTTCTGTACGGACTGCACACTCGTGACGATCAACTACTGCGAGAGGGCTCTCGAGCAAGTTGCGCAAATCAGTGTCCAGGGGCTACAAGATGCCAGCGGAGGGTCCGATGTGTCGGCGGCACAGGTCCAGAAAATCAAGGAGGTGAGTTCCGTGACCATAGCAGTTTAGACCACGGTTGGACCGGCAAGTTAGTTTCAACATAGATTCGGTACCGTCGTTGAAACCATCATGCACATCAGTGATTTATCTCTTTCAGAAACAGGCCTGGCACCCCCCTACGGTTGGAAGGTTGTAGGTTAGCTACCAGACACACCGAATGTAGTTTAGAGCATCCGATATCTGGAGACACCCTGCGATACCCCTGGGGATACCAATGGGATGCCGTTGCAATACCATTGTTATACCTACATGGTATCCGCAGCCCTGTCAGTCCAATTGCTGGCTACGTGCCCCCAGCCTGAGAGTGGATTTTCAGGGTGATGATTTCAGTTGAGTATTCGCCATTGAATTTTCTTCGTTTATGCGGCGGCCTCATTTTCTTTTTGAACAGAAATTTTGTGAAATTCAGCCTGAGAAAGAAACCACTGATGGTCGTCATCAGAAATTTTGTTGGACCAGATGCACATGTATGTGTGTGTGTGTGTGTTTTGCGCAGATGCGGGGTTTGATTAACCACGACTACCTGGTCCTGGAGCTGGAGAGTGGCGGTGCCGCAAAGCTACATATTCTTGCGGAGAAACTAACAGGGCGTGCACAAGTTGGCATCCACATAGAAGCGCTGGTCGACAAGTCAGAAGTTGACTACCGTCTTCACGAAGGCGTCCGCCTCTACGCTATGCAGTGCCGGACGAAGATCGGATTATCCAAGATCGAAGAGATTTTGAAGGTAGCTACCGATCCTCATTACAACTTGAAAGACAACAATTGCTGGGACTACGCATTTGCCGCAACGCGTCGGCTGCTGAACGAGTGCGCGGCGTGTGTAGGCCCTGAGTCATCTGAGTACAACAGGTTGAAGCAGATGCATGACAGCCTGGAAGGTGATCTGAACCGAAAGTCTATTAAGGCAACCTTGAAGACGGCGTGTGAGTATATCAGAAGCTCCTACATCTCTTGATGTATGTGCAGTAGGAGAATATGAAGCAGACGTTACATGTAATCATATGTGCCAAAGCCGAGAAGTAGATGCTGTACTAAGTAGTGACTATGATAGCTTGCTATTTGGATGTCCTCATCTAATAAAGGACATCTATATGATAGAAGGATACGCAGATGTTATAACACTACAGAGTATATGCAGAGAATATAGTGCAATACGCTCTTGAGACGTTCCAGAGACATTTCGCAGTGGTCCATTTATTATCCGGCAGCTAGGCTCTGCACCCATGTGCTTCGCACACTCAACCCTTGTCCCATCGACGGGCAAGAAGAAACACGGTCCTAGTTCACCTTCTGTACAGACTGACAGGTGCTGTTAAATAACGAGTCTGTTTCTGCCTTGGTCTGTAGATCCTCCTCTGAGGTATGCTCGTTGGACATGCGTTTTATGGAGGACGTTTAAAAGTGTTACATGTCGGAGTTATCTGTAAACTCGCTCCGTGGTTGATTGTGCTGCAGCCACCGCATGCCCCAGAACCAACTTGTAGACTTCTTTGTTGAGCGCAAAACAACGGATTTCACCACAAACCAATGGCATGTAACACCAAAAGCCACACAATGCTTGTAATAGAATGTGAGGTGGCTTTGGGTGTTGTCAATGGTGTTTTAAAAACTCTCAAACATTCTCAAACACTTTTGTATGCCAAAAGTCAAGATCCTAAATCCCAACTCGAAGTTATTATATCTGGTAAACTATGAACTTGTAAAACAAGTTAATTATACCATTGCAATTATAGACCTCCAAAGTTGGGATAAACCAAAATTAGAGGACATGAAGAGGTCAATAATACCGGATCAAAAATCCGGGCTGCGTGGAAACGTGATCGAACACTGATACCCGCAACTTTTTTGAGATCAACATGGTCGCCTAAAAGCTCCTAAGCCAGTACCAACCACGTGTTACCGACACGCCTCCGACACGAATAAGAGGCCGTTCATAAAGCTCCGGTACCATTCCTTGGGAGGGGATGATGTTCCATCACCCTTGTCGATGCTGCATGTGAGCCGGTTCCCTACCAAGTTCAGTGGTTGAGTTTTGCCTGATCAAGTAACGGGCGATCAGGTTTAGGGTTTAGGGTTTAGATAAAGTAACGGGCGATCAGGTTTGGCCAACTACTTGCAAGGTGAGTGTTCGGTGATCTCTGATTCCATTGATTGATTCTAGGATTAGTTAGAGAGCTTTGATTCAACAGTCGTTTGATGAAAAATCTGCTGTCAAAGCCAGGCTTTGGTGAAAATGAGCAGGAGAAATGTGATGACCAGATTTCGTTTGGAGAAGTGAGTTGTTCCAATCAAACCATATGTCTGACGAAGTGGGTGAATTTGTTGCCAGGTACTCATCCCGCCATGGCCAGCTCGTCTGATTGGAGGGCCAACCCTCTGTACTACGGAATTCGGGAGGTTGGTACTCTCTTCTTACAGCAGCCTCGTAAGCGTGGAGATGTTCCACCAAGAACATCTACTGTAAGACTACTGTAAGATTGCAGGGAAACTGGGTGAGACGCGATACAGAATGTTATGTAATGACACACGCCTCGTCCTTGAGGTGATTTTCATCTGCCAAGAAGAGCTGGAGTTAGTTGGGACCTGCCTGCGTTCAATCCGAAGACGATTGAACCCGAATCACAATGAAACAGAGGAGGTTAGCCTCGTGTTGCTTGAATTTTCGTTCAGTGAATGTTTCAACATGTCCATTACATAGGTAGTCGGCCACGCCTTCTCTTGAGAATAAGGCGTTACGATGTTGGGTTGCAGAAGAGGAGGCTGATCAACCACGACTTCCTCATTTTGAAGATTCAACCTGGAGAGGGCCCTGCGCTGTACATCAAGGCTGAAAAATTATTTGGCGTCGATGATGAAGGCAGTGGACAAGGAATTCATATCTCCGTTGAAGCCGATGAAGACGACCGTACCCGGGCCATGTTGTGCAGATGTGGTCTTCACCGCATCGAGTGCGGTATTGGTGTTCGCCTTGATTCCCTCATTGCCGTTCTGAAGAAGTGGAATCCATATTACGATGTGAAGAGGGACAATTGTTGGGACTACGCGAGGGAGACTACCAAGCTGCTGTTGGGAGCATGCATGGAAATAGTTGGGAGTGGACATCCCAAGCAGAAGATGTTGCAGAGGGATCTTGAGCAATTGGAGACTAAACTCGTCAAACACCATCTTGTCAACACAGGTTTGAGGGTTTTGAATTATGTCAAAGCTGTTGGACGGAGAGTGATCTGGGGACCACGTAAGTCAGCCGGCTAATCGCGGAACCTGTTGGCATATTAGATTGATGGAGCAGATTGTGCACTTGATTGTGTAGTGGTTTACCAAACAATGAAGTGTTTCTGCTGAGGTGGCACTTGTCAGCAGTGGGATAGAGAGCTTCTTCAGAAATAGTAGTCAACTTTTTGCAGTGAGGTCTGATGATTCTGTCTCTCCACTGTTTTGCACTGATGGCGGCCTTGTACCTTACAGGTAGTGGCCCTTGCTAATCTCGCATTACGTCAGAGTTTCAATAATTGTGGCATGGCTACTCTTCATCTGCTACAAGGCTGTCATCTGTTTTAGTATGTTGTGGTTGCTGAATCTGAATGTGTTGCTAAGCTTGATTGACTATGGGTGGCACGTGCTTCATTTGTACTATTGTGGTGCCGGAGGTGTTTCTCGTATCGTAATATTTGAGTGATGCTAACCCCTAAACGGCACACTTAGAAACTATTTTTGTGGAAGAGGGTCACTTAGTTGTGGTAGCCTACGAAGGGTCCTTCAATTCAGCTCAATGCATGTCCTCTACTGCACATATTTGCAACAACAATTTTTTCCATGCTAACTTGCAATGTACAATGTACATTGCAAGTAAACACAAGCACATAAGGGTTTTGAGGGATCATTTGATTTTTGCCTAAGTTTTGAATTGATTCCCCATGTGCTTGTTTATTCATTGTGATTCGTTATGCATCCATGCATAGCTTCCATCTTTGCTTCTCATTCTTTTTGTGATTCTTTGAATTACTCCACAAAGACATAAAATGTCATGTAAGAGTTAATGGTGGCCAAATTCAAGTAACTTCTCCTAATTGAGGATTGTATATATTTGTGCTATCATAGTGATCACAACTAGAAAATAATCTATATATAAAAATAATTAAAAAAAATGAAATCCAAAATAATAAAAGTGGAATAATTTATGGTTAAATCATATTATATTTTATTTTATTTTATTATAGGCCACTTTGAATCTTTTTAAGACAAAAAGAATTATGGACCTAATTTTTTTAAAGTTGATTGTAATCTACAAAAAGAACTAGTACATATTTGTTCAAAGATGCCAAACTTGGAAGGTGGATAATGTATATGTAAGTATGGACCAAATTAGAAATAATCCCTGAGTTTCATCCTTTAAAATTAAACCATTTGTGATGTGATATTAGAGATTTGTAATTTTGTAGATATAATCTATGCAGGCAAAAATGTATATAGATTTATTTTCTCGTATATAATTAGTGTTTAGATATTATTCTATTAAAGGCCTCTAAAAAATTTCAATCAAATCATAAATAGATTAGACTAGGATTTTCAAACTTAGTGAGAGTTTCCAAATTCATATATACACATATCCAAACTATATCAATTATGCTATATAAAGTACCGTAATTGTCCAAGGCTGGAAATGAAGTTGCTGACAAGGTAAGACTTAATGCTATGCAATCAATATCTATGCTCTAATGTTGACATTATGCTAAGTTATCAATATGCATAAGAATTTTTATTATAATATATTATTAATTATAAGATATATTAGGTGCTAAAGTTTTTACACCTAGATTTGAAAATTGAAACTATCAAAATTTAGTACCATCTGAGGTGGTTGAATTTTAGTGTTAGCCAAGCCAATTGTCAAAACTATTGAATAACAAGCACTATGAAGTCACAATCTTTAGCATCAGTAAGATTGCATATAAAGAGAGTATGGAGAAAAATGTCTCTCACTTCCAATACCTAATACTTATAGGTGGTGGTTGTTGCTTTAGAAGACAACTTCCTCTCTTTGACTTTTGCACACATGGTTCTAGGATCCTTTGGCATCTATCTTCTCTTTAGAGTATCCTATAGTCTTAGGATCCTTTGGCATCTTATTAACTATAAGGATATCCTATGCCAAATACTAATTACTCTTACCTAGTCTTTGGATATTCTTTAGTTCATAATTTATCCTCTTGGCTTTGACTCTTGGTCCTTAATTTCATCCTATATCTATAGAATGTCCCTTTTAACCATCAAGAGTCAATCTTTGGATCATTAGCAACTTCCTTAAGGTAATGTCTTTTATAAGGTAACTTATTCTACTTTTATTTTTACTTATTTATTTTAATACTTCTACTTTGCTATTGGTTAAAAGGCTTTTAATCCTAATGCCTTTGTCAACATGTAATGTTTATCCTTTACTAATGCCTTAGTCAACAAATCAGCAAGCATGTCTTCTATTGTACAATACTTCAAATCAATCACTCTAATTTCAATCTTCTCTCTTATGAAGTGATGCTGAATGTCAATGTGTTTGATCCTTGAATGATGCTTTGAATTCTTTGCAAATGAAAGACATCCTTGATTGTCACACTTAATTGTAGTTGCTTTCATTTGCAATACTCTAATGTCTTCTAAAAGTTGTTTTAGCCATATTGCTTCCATTGTACCATGGCTTACTTCTATGTACTTTGCCTCCATTGTTGACCTTATAATTGTTGGTTGTTTCTTACAATTCCATGAAATTGCTCCGACTCCAATAAAGAATATATATCTTCTTGTTGATCTTTTATCATTTGCATTTCCAGTCCAATCCACATGACAATAACTATGCAAATAAATGTTGTCACTTCCAAGGTACAATTTGAAATGCACAATGTCTTTTAAGTACTTCATGATCCTTTTTATGATTGTCCAATGCATTAGTCTAGCCTTTGATATGTATTGGCTTACAATACTCACTATATATACAAGATCCACCCTTGTGCCAACCATTGCATACATAAATGAATCCACTATTGCCTTGTATGGAACACCTTATATTTCATTTTCAACTTCAGCATACTCTTCATCTGTGAGCTTCATCAACTTCAAATTGGTCTCTAAAGTTGTTCCAATAGGCTTATACACTTTCATATTGAATCGTTTCAATGTACTTGCTTTGGCTCATTGTAATAGTCTTTTTAGCACAATCTCTCACAAATTCTATTCCTAAATAATAGTGAAGCTCTTCCAAATCACTCATCTCATACTCCTTTTTCTAACTTTGCCTTCAAGCAATCCATCATCTTCATAATATTGGTTAAGATGATCAAATCATCAATATAAAAGATGAAAATTAATATGAACTCACTTGATTTCATAACATACAAGGAATGATTATATTCACTCCTTCCAAATCTTTCATTCACAAAGAATGTATCAATGCATTGGTACCATGCCTTTGGAGATTGTTTGAGCCCATACAAGGCTTTCTTCAACTTACAAACAAGATATTATTTGTCTTCTTCTACAAATCCTTGAGGTTGATCCAAATAGTTGTCTTCTTTTAGATTTTCATTCAAGAAAGCTATTTTCATATCCATTTGATGCATTTTTAAGTCCATTTCTATCCCAATTACAACAATGGTTCTAATAGTCGTAAATTTGGTGACAAGAGCAAATGTCTCATTGAAATCTATACTAATAACTTGTGAGTAGCCTTTTGCAACTAATCTAGACTTGTATCTCACAACATTGTCCATTGCATCCTTTATAGTTCTAAATACCTATTTACAACCAATTGAAGATCGATTTGATGGAAGTTGAGTCAATTCCCATGTTCCATTGTCCATGAGTGATTTGTATTCTTCTTTCATGGCATTCTCCTACTTCATAGCATGTTCTTTACTTACTTGAGAAAAGATGTGATTCTTCCACCATGCACCAAGTTATTTTTTATCTCTAAAAGGATATTTTCTTTCACTTGATGAAGCTTCACCATCTTTCATTCCAAGATTTCTTATAAGCTTCTTCTCTCTTAAAACTTGCTTCTTCACATTCAAAGGTTGGTACTCCTCATTATCATCATCATCTTCAACATCCTCATTGTGTTGATTGCTGATTTTAGTAATTATAGGCATACTATGGTCTATCTTCTTTGGCTCTTCATCTCAATTTGTATTTCTACCATCATCAATGTCATCATCTTTTTCTTCTTTTTTTGCTAAAATTGAAGATGTGTCCACAAACACAACATTACTCCTACATAGACATATCTCTAAGTGCTCATAAGCACTCTTATGCTCCAAAAACTCTACATCATGATTCTTAATGATTTTCTTGGTTTCTAAACACATTAGTCTATATGCCTTGGTATCTTCACAATATCCAAAAAATACATATTTTGTACCTTTTGTATCAAGTTTGGACCTCATACAATCTAGTACCTTTGCATAGGCAATGCATTCAAAAATCCTCATGTGTGAAATACAAGGTTTCTTGCCACTTCCAGCTTCTTGTGGAGTCATAGATGTGAGTGCACTTATTGGGCATCTATTCCTTGTATACATTACATTTACCATTGCTTTTTTCCAATATTCATGCCCAAGATTTTATGCATGAAGCATATTCCTTGTCATTTCCACAATGGTATGATTTGCTCTTTTAGCAATTCCATTTTGTTATAGAATGTAGGAAGTAGAAGATTATCTTGCAACACCTTGAATCTTCAAGAATTCATCAAAATATTTTGAAATGTACTCACTTCTATTATCTATGTGCAACGCTTTGAGCTTTCATTCACATTATTTTTTTACAAGAGCCTTAAACTCGTTAAACCTTGAGAAACATACATTATTAGCTTTAATGATGTAAATCCATACTTTTCTTAAAAAAACATCAATAAATGTGACAAAGTATCTTATTCCTCTAATTGATGGTATCTTCATAATCCACAAACATTAGAATACACAATATCCAACAATTTGGTAGCACGTATTGTAACTCCTCTTAGAAATGAAGCTCTTTGTTGTTTATCTTGTATGCATCCTTCACAAGTAAGTATGAAGATATTATAGCTGAATTGACTAAGACTCAAGCCACTTACCATAGATTGGAGCTCTTTCATGCTTTTGGCATTCAAATGTCCAAGTTATTGATGCCAAATTTCAAATTTATCTTGATCTTGTGAAAAATTAACAAATACTGCTACTTCTACTCTATTAATTTTCTTACAATTCATAAAGTAGAGGTTGCCATTTTAAGGCCTTTGGCAATATATTCTCTACCCAATGTCTTCATAAAACATTTGTTCTTATCAAACTAAACCTTACAACCATATGATATAAATTTGCTCACCGAAAGGAGATTCTTCTTTATCTTTGGCACATGTAAGACCTCTTTCTTCCTGATTCTCTTGATTTGATCTTTCAACAATAATGGATCCAATTCCAATAGCTTGTACCATGCCATTATTTTTCAATCAAACTTTGATTGTTGGAATTTCTTCATAAGTATCAAATGAATACTTATATGGTATCA